GTGTAGCGTGACCTCACTGATAGCAGCACTCGGCTCCAGGGCCGTCTGACTTTGCGTGCCTTCTTTGTCCTAGCCTAGTCCGCTCTTTGAAGGTCGCGCGACTTGGCCCGTTCTCTGTATGCGCCGGACTGGCCTCACGTGACCTCGTACTGTCTGTCTGTCTGACGTGCTCGATCATCCCAACAAGTCTTGGCAATAGTAGTGGCACATTTTTCCCTCAAAAGGCAAACAAAACGGTGATGGCAAAAGCTGTCATGAGTGAGTTGGAGGGATTCGAGGCACGCGAGAGCCATTCTATGAGCAGACTGGCCAGGCCAAGTGCCTTAAAAAATCCGTGATTAAATGATTAATATGTTATAAATGTGCAATAAGGAAGAAAGTAAAGCCACTTGTAATTGTTTTACTGAACTAAAAGTGTAGATGAACTGTTTGCGGAAAAGACAACAGAGAGTGAAAAGAAAGTATATAGACCAAGAAAACTATTAGAACAAGTCCTATTGGTTAGCATAATCAGAGGGTTTGTTAAGATAGATTGAAATGCAATCTGCAATGCAAGTAGTTATTTCTTTATTCTGAATACCTTCGTGCGGTCTTACGAGTTCTTTGTCCACCGCCGGCCCCCTTTAGATGGATCCAGACGGTGGCCTCCCTGCAGAAGAATAGAGTCAACCTAGTGGGTCACTGCCTATTGGCCTCCGCCTTCCTTAACTACGAGGGTCCCTTCACACAGGAGTTTCGCACACGAATCTACAAGCGCTGGCTTGACAACCTTATAGTCGACGAGGTAAGTCTATTTTATACCCGAAGTTCTACATACAGTGTAGATGTGCTGCTACCTTATGACATTTTAACGGACCTGTGTCTTCGGTCAGAAAGGAGTACTTTGGCGGAGCTTTCGTACTGATTATCGTGCAGCACAATATGCCAGTCAAGCCAGGATGCCGAATTTTGAATGGGCTTCTTTCGCGCCACCTGCAAAACCCACAGTTGGCAAAAACTGACTGACTGCTCGCGTGGCTTGAATTATTCAATTGGTTTCCAATACTCTGATAAATTCAATTATAGTCTATAGAAATCAGGCTCAAAACGATTCTTTATTGTACCTAATTGCTAGCAAATTACGTCCTCACCAAAGGTCATATATATCTTTGGATTTTAATAAAAGTTACCAATTATGGGGATTTTTCATTCATAAAGCGTCGTATCTGTCCATTTCTTAATGCTGCTTGTGAAGTATACGACATGGTCCACATCCATGGTCTTCCTAATGGCATAGCGAAATATTTCATTTGTCTTAGACGGAGTGCATACAGCATCTATTTTTTAAACTCTGAATGCCAGTGTAACGGCACTTCTAGAATTAAAAAGGCTATTTTTCTTCCTCAAAAAACGAAAATATGTTCTTGTTTCACCTATACAACGCGAAGAAGACGCATTTTGCTACTAACGGGATATAAAAAAGGCATATTTTGTGAACGCTTCCTATAAAATATATTGAAATTTTCAAGGAGCATCGACAATAAATGGAAAAAGTTAAAACTGCTTAAGAAATCATTTCTTATTATGTGTTTTGTTTTGATTGCAGAGGGTCGGAAGGAAGCTTGTCCAAAAGCCGGCATCCTGAAATGACTAAAATATCTTGCGATTTTGCTGCACAATACTTTCAGACCAAAAATACATTTCGCCTTACATTTATGAGATAGTGCATCTAAAATATATTAATTTTATGCCGGTTTTTATCGTTTGTTACCCTTTCCATTCTGATTGATTTTAATGTTTCACTAGCCTCACCAATTACGCTTGCCAGCTTTTACGTGCCTCCGCATAGGTTTCGGTTTGTTGACTGAAATCTCTATTATACTTGCACCTTCTAGATACCACTGCAAGAGGGTTTCAAACTCAACGAACTGCTTACGTCGGAAGTGGAGATTTCACTTTGGAATTCACAGGGTCTACCCCCAGACGAACTCAGTATCCAAAATGCTATACTCACGACCAAAGGCCCCAAAACCCCCATCTGCATCGATCCACAGGGACAAGCCACCAAGTGGATCCGCATGATGGAACTCAACCCAAAGGACGAAACAAGATCTATAAAAGTAGGCACCTAAGAAGATTCTACCAGTTCTTTGTGCAGTGTCCAATCGGTCAGGCGATAAACTAATTGGGTTACAACAAAGCAGGCTTACTACAACGAAATAAGTAGTTAGTAATGTATAATAACCTACTGCCAGTCAGTCAGTCAGGCGATAAACTAACTGCCGTTTCCCCATCATGCCTTTGCAGATTACGACGCTGAACGATCCAAACTTCCTGCGAACTCTGGAGAATTGTGTGAAGTTTGGTGTTGCGATTATGTTCACATCAGTTGAAGAGAATATTGATCCCGTACTCGACAATATCCTCAGCAGAAACATAAAAAGTGAGTCTTTTTATCTCCAAAAAGGCGTGTTGTAGATTAACCGTGCTGGTTTTTGAAACAAAACGCAGGTCATAAAGCAGTTAGCGCACGAGCGGGCAATTATCCTTAATAGGGGAGTTGTTAATTATTATATGTAGGCAGTAGCCTAGCGACTATGTCCTATAAATACTGCCACTCCCTGTGTATGGAGTATCCGTTTCTGCTATTGTTTCTGATGAAGGATCCTCGACGTACTTCGAAACGCCTGGTGAATAAAAGTATTGTACTAACGATTACATCTACTTCTCCTAACCAAAAATAGTTCATACTCTTCGAGTCTCAGGCAGTTTTCCCACATAGCCTAGATGCTGGCTACCTGGCGCGCCCACAGGTGGCGCATAGTGGAACGGCCTTGAGCGAAGGTTAACTGCGAAAAAGGCAGGCTCTTAAGTCTGGCGAATAAGCAGTTGCGGACCAGCAAAGACTATGCAACCAGTGTGCGGA